CGATGTTGAGCACTTTTTCATGTGTCTGTTGGCCATTTGGATGTCTTCTTTGGAAAAATGTCTGTTCATGTCTTCTGCCCATGTCTTGATTGGATTATTTGTTCTTTGGGTGTTGAGTTTGGTAAGTTCTTTATAGATTTTGGATACTAGCCCTTTATCTGATATGTCATTCCCCCTGCACTATTCTTTTCTAGTTTGGTCTCTGGCTTGTTTCTTTCAAAATGTTTTTTAAATGACTTTATTTATTTTCCATTTAATTAATCATTCTCCTTCGTGGAATGTAAATTCCATAAGGGAAGGAATTCTGACTATTCTATTCACCACTGATCCTCAGTGCCTCTTTATTACAGACTTACCACATGGTAGGCATCCAATAAATATCTATTAAATAAACAGTGAATTTATACATATTGATGGTCATCTTTTTAGTTGGGGGGACAAAAGATAAAAGTCTGAAGTTAGTAGAACAAAAGCAGAAATTTTTATTTTTAAAGAAGTTTTTAAAGATTCCAACCTTTGGCAATAATAAAGTCATTTTTATAAGAGAGACAGTAGAGTGAAACATCATTGGACTAGAAAACAGAAGATCTAGGTTTGTAACTGGATTTTGCCATTTGCTAGCTACGTGACCTGGGGAAGTCACTTAACTTTTATGAAGTTTAGTTTCTTCATTGAAAAAGTAGGAATAAATAGTATATATTCTGCCAAGGGTTGTTGGAAATACCTAATAGGTAATATGTGTGAAAATATTTTACAATGTAGAATTCTAAAAAAAAGAAAAGATTATTTATGATAGTTATAAGACTATATAAATATATAAATCCTTTGTCTTTGTATTTATTTTATTTTATTTTAATTCCAGTATGTTAACATACAGTGTTTTATCAGTTTCAGGTGTACAATACAGTGAGTCAACAATTCCATACATCACCCAGTGCTCATCACAAGTGCCCTCCTTAATCCCCATCACCTATTTTCACCCATCCCTCCCACCTACCTCCCCCTACATGAATCCTTTAAATCAAATGTTACCACATATATACATCCCTATCACTAATGGAAATTACCCAACATTTTTATACCAACTAGCTGATTATGAATTGTTATTTTCTCCTTCTTGTATTACTGTTTGCTGGTGTAACATTCTCAATCCAACAACTCTATAACCCTTACTGAATGAGGACAATGTTTTCACTGTTATTCTGTAAATCAAAAGTATCCATGCCAAGAACAGAATTTTTGGATGCCCCAGTACCAAATCTTGACTTAATGTTGTTTGTAGATGAGTCTTACATTAGAGAAAGAAAGAAACAAAAAACAATACCAGGCTTGACATACAATAAGTTGCCTCGTCTCTTGGAAAATCTGTTTCCTTACCATGAAATACATTCAAATGACTAAACTGTGGCTCTCTCTCAGACATAGGAGAGTAAAATATATAAACTAATAGCTAGTATGCTTTTAGAATAACTGACTTTTTAAAAATGCTATAGAAAAAAGGGGGATTTTTTCCCCCTCTGATCAAGTACCCTTTAAAAATGAAGAAGGGGGAAAAAAAAAAAACAAAAATAAAATAAAAATGAACAAGGGGCGTCTGACTGGCTCAGTCAGTAGAGCATGCAACTCTTGATCTCAGGGTCATGAGGTCAAGTCCCACATTGGGTGTAAAGCTTACTTTAAAAAAAAAAAAAAAGAACAACAAATACATTATTTGATACCTAAAATAATGGCCATAAAGGAAGAGACTCAAAGTAAAAGAAGTTCCATTGAAGCTAATACACTATATTATAGATACTATACAAGTACTTTAAAAATATTATAGAAACACTTTAGAAATATTATAGAAATACTTTTACCAGATCATTATACTAAACAGACTGTTCTGACTAAAGTCCTTACATAAAACAACAACAAAATAAACAAATCTATGGAGAAGTTTAAGGATTCCATCATAGATATGCAAAACCGGGCCGGCCAAATTCTGAAATACTGTGTATGATCATGTTCTAAAAACCATAAGGGTAAGATCTGGCAAAACCAGAATGGCCACCTGGATACTAGATAAAATCCTCCATGAAATAACTCATTCCAATAGGGATAAATTGGCTATAATATTAATCGCTGAGGAAAAACTTTCCTAAGATAATGAAAAATGTGGTTAGTCCATGCTTTATCTGTAAGTAAATTAACCTGGAAAAATTGTAGTACATAAACTGGGACTATACTCCAGAAGACTCTCTAAGCATTTCCAAATTGATTTTATACAGTTGATTCTTTCTCTATGATTTATGAATATGTACTACTAAATACAGTACATTTATTTTCAGGATGGGTCAATATATTTCACTGTTGAAAAGTCATAACCGGGGCACCTGGCTGGTTTGGTAGAGCATGTGACTCTAGATCTTGGGGTTATTAAGTTTGAACTGCATGTTGGGTATAGAGATCACTTAAAAATAAAACCTTTATTTTTTTTTAATTTTTAAAATCTTTAAAAGATTTTATTTATTTATTTGAAAGAGTCATACAAGTGGGGCAAGGGGCAGAGGGAGAGGAAGAAACAGACTCCCCACTGAGCAGGGAGCCGGATGTGGGGCTTGATCCCAGCACCCTGAGATTATGACCTGAGTTTAAGGCAGATGCTTAACCGACTGAGCCACCCAGGCGCCCCCAAAATAAAACCTTTAAAAAACAAAACAGGGGTGTGCCTGGGTGGCTCAGTCGGTTAAGCATCCAACTCTTGGTTTCAGCTCAGGTGGCTATCTCATGGGTTGTGGGATCAATCCCTGTATCGGGCTCTAGGCTCATGAAGGAGTCTGCTGAAGTTCTCTCTCCCTCTCCCTCTGCCCCTCCCTGTGTGTGCTTTCTCTCCCTCTCTCAAATAAATAAATCAATCTCAAAAAAAATTTTTTTTATTTCAGAAATCCTTCTTGCCTATGGTTTCAAAGGTCAATGCTATCAGTAAATGCTATAAAATATCTTAAATTGCTCTTAACTAGTTTCTCATATTAAAAGGCATGTGTAGTAGATACAATATTATTCATAGATTAGATGCTGATTTTGCACCATAGGCAGAATGTGGGATTCACTGAACGTTAGGTTAAAGTAGGATATAAAAATTTATTGTAACTATTCACCTCCTATTTTTTTTTTTTTAAAGATTTTATTTATTTATTTGACAGGGAGAGACACAGCGAGAGAGGAAACACAAGCAG